TGGCAAACTCCCCGTGGCGTGCCCAATATGCCAAACACCAGTAACAATGATGGGTCTCATTCTCCTAATCCTGAAAGAGCCTTGAATGTGGCACTTTTTAAAAAAATCTTAGGGCTAGGATGAAGAAGACGTTACTGGGGCCTGCTCGAGGCAATTGACGAACAACAGGATGGTCGTGATTGTGATTGTGATTTCAGAATACCCAAATCTGGCAATAACCCAGTAATTATCAAGAGAACAGAAAACCAAATTATGATAGGTTCATGTAATGGAATACAATATGACAACCTAATGGAAGGACCGATGGTAACAATATGAATCACTACAACATTAAGGTAAAGGCAAAGGTAAAGGCCCTCCCGTTGATCGTCGATTTGCTCGAGCGGGCCCAGTAACGTCTCCATTGGAGACTTTGTTGTTACTGTGTCTGGCATATCGAATACTCTCGGTAGCTTGCCGGGCTCTCCGAGAGGGGCGGAGGAATCGAACTCGGGTCGGCTATGTTGGCCGCTTGTAAGGCGGACGCCCTACCCGCTGTGCTATCGCTCCAGCCCGCAACATTAAGCTAATCAAAAAAAAAAAAAAAAGGCTAGATATACAGTGTGTATAGGATGGTTCCAACTACAGGCTTGAGGAGATACAAAAGTAATATACTGCAATACCAATCAGAAATGATTGTTCTGGGAGAAGAAGCCGGAACTGACTGTTCAGGGAACTTTAGGATGAAAAAAGGTCCTTCAGAGTGTTCTGGATGGCAGCTGCATGGCTACAGGCAACTGTCAAAACTCCTCAGACCGAAGACTTAAAGATCCGGGCCCTGTGTGTAGATTATATGTAAGACTTACACAGGAGAAAGATCTATTTACTCTGGACAAGACAGGAGATGATGTTGCCGTTTTACCTAAATTGGTTAGGAATTAAAAATTCTCTTTGTTCCTATAAAGAACACTTCAAATATAGATGTTTATTGCATGCGCTCTTAGTTATCTGAGCACAAAATATTCACAAAATTGCATTTCTACAAGCAATCAGTATCCTTTGAAATTCTGATTAGCCAATTACCTATTAATATAACCACGGACTTCTTGGCTTCATGGCATGGGAGTACTATTAGCATATTATTTCTTTACCACATTTTAGCAACAAAATACTTCTGAAAATGCTGTCATTTTGCTAGTAAATAAAATAAAGCCTAATTAAAAAGTCTTATTGACCATATAAAATGGAAACTGTTCAGGAGAAATGCATTATTTATTCATTCAGTAAGTGAGATATTTTACTGACTGTAAACAAATGGGCTCTTGGAATATGAAGAGTCTAAAGCCAGTCTCTGTGCATCAGGATGATTTATTCTACAGCTGAAACCAAAAAGCATTTATTCCAATCATTAGTGTTTGAATCTGTTCTCCATGCTAGGTAGTAAAAAAACCAAAAACCAAACCCAAACCCAAACCCAAAATAAAACAAACATGGGATAAGACGTGGTCCTGGTTCTTACCATACTCTTATTCCAGCCCAAGATTACACTTATTGGAAGAATCACAGTGCCTTCTGGCTTCCCATCCTTTCTCAGAACATTCTAGGCACAGAGGGGAGCACTCCCAAGTAGAATAGCTACTTTGGGTTCTGAACCCAAGAGATGGGAAATACTTGGTATCCCAGAAAGTTATTTATTTATTTATTTATTTATTTGCTTTTTGGGTCACACCTGGCGACACTCAGGGGTTACTCCTGACTCACACACTCAGGAATTCCTTCTGGAGGTGCTCGGGGGACCGTGTGGGATGCTGAGAATCAAACCTGGGTCAGCGCGTGCAAGGTCAATACCCTACTTGCTGTTCTCTCACTTCAGCCCCCCAAGAAAGTCTTGAGGGAAGAAGAAATGGCATGCCCTGAGGACTAAGCCATGAATTCAATTGAGGCTGGGAAGGAATGCCCAAAGCCACAGCAACCATCCTTACTAGAACCTTCTTTCCTCAGAGCCTGGCTTCCTTCTTGATTCTTCCCTGGCACTGACAGAGGGAGCCTCTACCTGCCAGGATTCTAATTCTGGAATCAGTCACTACTGATTGCAGGTAAGGTTACCTAAACCAAGCTGTGACAGGGAAGAGATTGAAGCTGGGAATGTTAGCACAGAGAACTTAATTGCCGATCTGCTGAGTGTAGAGATCGGGGAACTAAGCTTGGTTTCTTCCATCATTGTTCAGGCCTAACTTAATCAAACGTGGTCTCCAATCTGGATGAAATACAATTGTTTGAAGCAAGTAGAAAGACCCACAGCACAGTGGCATGTGCGCCGTTAGCTCTGGTGCCATTAAACCACCAACTCTGAGAGCAGAAAGGAGGACATGTTTTGAGGAGTTGTGTCCTTTTCAAAACAGAAAATCCATAACTGTTCTGGAATGAAGAAGGTATGTGATACTACATTTAATATGGACTGGAGTATTTGAAAACGATGAAATTCTCCTCTCTGAGTGCTGAATTGGGTATCTGAGTAGTCAGTTTCCTAAATAAATGACAGGGTTCTTTCTGAAAACTGGTCACAATTTAGATGCGCTTATTTATTTATTTTTTTTATAGCAGCAATTTCTGGTTATTTAAGGACAAAATTGGAACGAGATTCGAGTGTTAAATTGTCATTCTGAGCTCAAAAGTTGAATGAAAAAGAAAATGTCAATTCCCATTTTAAAAAAGGAATTTGCAAGTAAGGAAAATCAGAGCAGAGTGAATGTTACCCACATATGTAATGGAAAATCTACCACTAAAATACCTAGGCACTTGCTTTTAAAGACTTAATTATAGCAATCCATGGTAAAGCAGAGAAGAGAAATCAGCCTTGATTTCTAGAGATATTCTTATCTGGGAAATCACATGTCATCTTTATACCCTCTTCCCTTATTTGGAGAAGCAACACAAATAGAAGTCCACTGCCACAGACACAGCAGGTATTACTTCCTGCTTTCCATGTGTCTGCTTATCCCTTGTCTATTGTCTACTTAGTGATGGCTTTGATGCGAGGGGGGGAGGGGGGCGGGGCAGGGTGGAGGGGTGGCGGGGGATGGTGTTTCCCATGAGTAAATACACTTCTTCTAATTCATCCCACTCTCCAGCTCACATGAACTGTGTAGTCTCTCTCACTTGTGGGAGGCAGGGGACTCTCATGCAGTATCAGGCATCATGGGGTCCACAGGATTAAAAAAAAATAACCTTCCTTCCTTCCTTCCTTCCTTCCTTCCTTCCTTCCTTCCTTCCTTCCTTCCTTCCTCCCTCCCTCCCTCCCTCCCTCCCTCCCTCCCTTTTTAAAATCACAGCTGGTGGTACTCAGGGCTTACTCCTGGCTCTGCACTCAGGGATCACTTCTCATGGGGAGCCATATGGGGTCCCAGAGATTGAACCTGGGTTGACCACATGTAAGGCAAGTAATCCACCTGCTGCATTATCCATCCAGGCTCCCAGAGGGCACTTGGGGTATAGCAAGAGCCCTTGGGGTATACTGCAGGCCACCAGTGGGGTTTGGGAGCCACTGGGCTGATACCCAGTGTGCTCACAGGGTAGGGGGGCATGCGGTTCCAGGGTTGGAACTCGGAACCCAGAGGCATGCCACATCTTTCTCCTCCTGAACAAGCTTTAACACTGCACCCAGCATGAAACACCGGTGTTCATGCTTAGCTGTCACTTAACACAATTTTTAAGCTAGGGTTTAAACAGCAAAGAAGTAGCTGCAAGTCTATCATGGCTGATGAGTCCAGCCTAGGAAAAGCATATTAGACCCTCAAGGGATAACTGGGGACTTTAGCGATAGTACTGAAGTTAAAAGGTCTTTTTGATAGTGAATCAAGTAACTGCACAATAAACCTCCAGGAAGTAACCAGGTGGCTAAAAAGGGCTTACATAGAGAGTTGTAAATATTTAGTTGGCAAGATTCTCAAGGTTGTTCTAACATACAGTTCCTGACTAAGATGAAAAATACACAGTCCCTGAATCAGAAACGGATGAAATGAATATACAGAAAAGAGTTTTGGGGAAGTTTCATGGGCTATAGGATTGGTTTCCCAAAGACAGGGCATATCAGAAGATGAGACGTTTCCATAAAGGGGGAGGGGACGATTTAAAATGAACCGTGACAGGGCTCAAGATGCAGATCTAAAATGACCCTTTCCTTGTACGCATCCCACCCTGTGGCCTCTGGGCTTCTATGCCGCAGGAATCACGTATCCCTGTTGGTCTCCAGGAAAGGGTGTGCACCAGCCTGCGGGCTCCAGTGTGTATATTTTAGGGCGCAGGGATCCTGCTGGAGAAAAGCTAGCATGCAGGCAGAACATTTCAGCAAGAAAGCTTGGACAACTTGGCAGCATTTATCATCACTAACATTGCAGTCTTGCAGAGTAAACTTTGAAATTACATTCTAATTGGAGATGGCTTCGGTTTGATGAGTTAACTCTTGAGACATCTGAGTACAGTATTATGAACAAACAAAACTGATCATCAACCCTTTATGCCAATGTTAATTTCTTTTAAAAGTGGGATTTTAATGTTTTTTTATTCCTACAGTGACCCTTAAAATTTCTATGTTTGTAATCACAAATGCGCACATAAGATGCATTTATAAGCTTATTGTGTAGTTCTGAAGACAGTTGGGAAACCCCATTTTAATTCTCTTACTGATAATTTAAAAAATATATTATAGAACTTCCTCTTTTCAATCAACAGCAAGGATCTAGAGAAAGATTATACAAGTAGGCACAATTTATTCAGGTTTATTTGTGTTAAAGAAATGAAGCTGTCTAACTTTAAATTGTAACAAGTACTCTTTTTACATTTAAGCTTTCATCGTACTACTGACATAATCCTGGTATACCTTTTGAAAAAATAGAAAATCATTTAACAAACTATTTAACATGCACTAACCATGGATATGCTAAATCTGGAAAATTCCAACACATCTGCAAAATTTCCCAGTGACCTTTGAGAATAATTTTCATTAGAGAAATAAGACTTACCGGCTTTTATTCATAAGGTCTGCGCCCCGTGCTTTGTAATAATCTAAATTTGGATGAAACTGATAAGTCACTGGTCTTGGATTTCTCTATAGAAAAAGAAACAAACAATTTATAAAGCTATTTAAATTACACATGAACATTAAAACAGGAACAAAATAATTGCCCTTATGTTGTTCTAGGAAAAGGTTTAACTGTGTGCTTCGGTTTTGCTAGTACAGTTGAAATTTTGCTTTAATTGATCTTAAAAGTAAAGTAAAGGCTGGAGCGATAGCACAGCGGGTAGGGCGTTTGCCTTGCACGCAGCCAACATGGCCGACCCGAGCTCGATTCCTCCGCCCCTCTCGGAGAGCCCGGCAAGCTACCGAGAGTATTCGATATGCCAGACACAGTAACAACAAAGTCTCCACTGGAGACGTTACTGGGCCCGCTCGAGCAAATCGACGATCAACGGGAGGGCCTTTACTTTACTTTACTTTTAATTGATCTTAATTACTGAAAAATTTTCCATACATTTTACATTGACCTGTTTCATAGTTCACATAGCCTTTTTCATTCTATTACTTTATTTTTGATGATTTTTATTACTTTCACAGACATTACAAAGGAAAATCAGATAAATTTAAAACAAAGCTGTAAAATTATGTACTGTAACACGGGCATCATCCATTATAAGGACAGAGAGACGGTTGGCTTTTGAAGACAAGAATGCTCAGTATGTCCACTAGATGGCACACTGAGTCTTTCTTCTCCAAACCTGCAGTATTTTGGAATTCAGCAATTCCTTAAAGTTATTGATTTCTGCGATATCTTTTCCTACACATGAACTTAACAACTAGACAAGCAGTGGAAATACTAGCAATGTTCTGTGGCAACACTAAAGTAAACTGATCATTTCTGTCCTTTTAATGTCACTTACGAATTGTTGTGTCTTTGAAAGACAATGGGTGTGTCCATATAAATATGGTGCTATTTAATGTGGCTATTATTTGAATGTATAAAGTCCTTCAGAAGCAAAGAAAAATTAGACAAACTCACCTGCGGTTTTAAAAATGTCACATCATAAAGCTTACCTTTAATGAATATCATCATCTCTAACAATTAAAATGACATATTTTCCATTAAGAAGTCTAAACAACTTATTAATAAAAAGTGTTTACAGGTCTACCCAAGCATATTAATTCAAGTTAATAATTAACTCTTTGAACCAGAGCATGCCCTGTCCTTGGAAAAATCTCTCTAAACAGAGAATTGCTGCCTTTTATCTTAGTAGAAAATTACCTATATGCTTTGATATCACTCCTTGGAGACATTATCCCAAGGTACTGATATACGTGCATGTAGGCGGGGGTATATAATTGCTAAGGTTAAATAGTTTGAAATTCATCAAGCTAACAAGCTGCATCTTAATGGCCATGATGGACCTTTTCTTTTTCTGCTGAAAAGAGAATATTTACACAGCTCAACCCTTTCATATCTCTTCCAAGTCAGCTCTAATCATCTGACAAAAATGACAATCCCTTGATTTAGCTCCAGCTACTATTCCACTGGTTTGGTATTCAACACAGTTCTACAATAATCAAATCTGAATTGCCTTGATGAAGATAACTGATGCTTCCATGACTACCATACTATTAAGTCTAACAGTGCAACTTTTCTCTCTCTAGGAATTACATAGGTTTCTCCTGGTAGCTGATGACAACCTGGACCCAAGTATACAGCGGGGGGAAACACAGGTTCAAGCCACTGGGAGACTGCCATTCATCATTTACTTAAAAAATTAACTTATGCAGGATGATTGCTCATGACCAAGTTTACTCTTTATTTCAGCTACTTGCAAATACATATTGATTTTGCTAAGATGAAAGGTTTTTCTTCTCTGGCTTCTGATAAACTAATGAAAGAATTGCATGGAGAAGTCTGTTGAAATATCTTCATGAAGAAATGACAAGCAATTCAAAACACGAAGTGCTAATCTACCTAAGCACTTAAAGTCATTATTAGGGATAATAATCTAACTCAAATACATGAATGAGGGAGGCCCAAGCACTAATTTCACTGAGGTCTATTTAAATTCCTAGGAGACCTACTAGTATCAATAGGAGACACAGTACCACAATAGAGGACATACTCACGTTAAAAAAAAAATCAAAAGAAGATTTGGAAAAACAGCACTTGAAATTTAAGAAAATGAAATTGGAGAGTTCAAGGCTATTCAACAGTGTTATCCTCAGTAGGGCACCCCCTTGAATGCTCTTAAACTGTCACTACTAAAGTAAAAGTAAATGAACACAGAGATGCTGTAGAATAGCCTTTTCAAGAGAGATATGATGTGGGTCATAGAATGTAAATTTCAGAAGGAATTTTAAATTGTCTAGCAAATATGACAGAGACAACAAACAGTCAGGGGCAAAACTAAATGCAAGAATATTTTTTGTTTCATTCCATGTATCTAAAAATAGTGTCATTAGGACATACAACTATCTACAAACTGCTAATGAGGTATGTGACATTGTTTCTTTCGTATACAGTCTCTAGAATCTAGTGTGTATTTTAAGCTCACCGCCCATTTCAATTTGGGCCAGTCCACATGTCAGGTGCTCAGGAGCTACATGTGGTTGGGGGCTGCTGTAAAGGCTCAGAACTGAATGTCTGACATACATGTGACATTCAGTGTGTCGCCATAAACATCGGGAAGTCAAGACATGAACTCTGCAAAGGGTATCAATAGCTTTACAATGTTAAACATTAAAATTCAGTACTGATTACCTATAATCAATGGACTATTTAACTTTACAGGGGCCATGTCCAGCTCAGCTCAGCCCAGCGGTTGCTGCCTGAGCTCAGGGGTTGGCAGGGCAGCAGGAGGCACTGTTTGGAGAGTATGTGGTGCTGAAGACAGAGCGCAGACCCTGGATGGCCAACCGATTGCTCCATTACGGGTGCTGCCTTTCTGGCCCTAATTAAGTTAGTTTAATAGTTTCTGAATCAGGTTTTAAAAAGTCAGGAGATTTAGGAACAGTACCTTCTTATGCAACTATGCACCAAAACGGCATGGACAGTTTCTTGGCAGGAAAAAGTGTAAAATTGCAGAATTTACTAACTTCACATAATTGGAACATTTTTAGACAGAGACTCAATTTTCTGATTTTTTTTTCTTTTTCAGGTCACGACTGGCGATGCACAGGGGTGACTCCTGGCTCTGCACTCAGGAATTACTCCTGGTGGTGCTCAGGGGACCCTATGGGATGCTGGGAATAGAACCTTGGGTCGGCTGTGTGCAAGGCAAATGCCCTACCTGCTGTGCTATCGCTCCAGCCCCTTGGTTTTCTGATTTTAAAGGATATTGGAGATAGTCTGAATAAAATGTTATAGAAATATAAGTTCTGATTTAAATTTTTTTAAATCTGAAATGTCCTCTGAAGTTTGAATAATAAGAAATATTCATAGGTAAAGCTCTATATTTAAGGACTATTCCTCATAGCAGTTGTAATTTTTTATGTGCAGAAACCTGGATGTGACAACTTACCTAAATATCCTTCACTAGGTGCAAACTATTGGCCATATTTTTAATTATTGAAATTATTAAATTACTTAAAACCCATTTTCACATAGTCAGCATTTCAATGCTTACATGTGACAATGAATTTTAATAAACAAAGTACATTTAAAAAAACTCTTGGCTAGATTTCTTTTTGATAAGAAAGAAAATAATAATCATATCATTTATCAGACTGTGTACAGAGGAATGTCAATTATGTTCCGTGTTCTATATGTCTAAATATTCAGATGTCTAAATCAGGAATTCAGGCCATTGCAATGGGTTTACCAGCCTTTCCCTAGACCAGATTAACCTGATAAGAATCCGCAAGACTGCATCTAGTTAATGTCCCAAGTACCAGTCACTCATCTCTGTTAGCAAAGCTATGGGAGCTCTTAAACCTTTCTCTTCTGCATTTCCATTTAAGAGAAATGCTGAAAATCCCACCTATGGTATAGACAGGCTGGATCTGGGGGAGCTGTTCTTAAACAGCGTTTCTTGCAGACAAAGTCAGCTCAGAGACATAGAATAGCTGGATTCTAGAAATACGTGTTGTAGAAGGCACTGTGCAGAGAAACAGAGCAAAGCAAAACCCCTGCCTTGTGAATTTCCAACATGCTTTTGTCACTGTAGCATGATCACAATTGAATGGCAAGTGGTGTTTAAACAAAAACAATCAATGGAAGAGATAAAGCTGACTGATTAAAATCTGTCTTCCCTCTACTAGAGTTAAGGTCAGACAGAGATGGAGAAGGGTTCGAGTGATGGGATAGAAACAAAGGGACTGGAAAAATCGTGGCAGCTCCACAGGGACACCGACCACAAGAGGCAAGGAGGTTTGTGCTCAGATTCCGGCTCCCACCACTGCAAACTCAGGTGAGGAGTCAGTTACTCTGTGAGCTCTCATCTTCTCATCTGCAACGCTGGGTGGGGATTACATGAGACAACGGACCTTACGAACACAGCGCAGTGCTGGGCACTTGATAAAAACTCAATAAAATGGAAGTTCCTATTACCACTGAGCACAGACAGATTTGAGAGCAGATTTGACAACTGGGATAACTGAATCCACAATGACAGAGAAATCCATGGCTCTTATTTCAGAGAATCATACATATTTCTTAGGTAGCTTTCACCAAACATTATATATTTTTACAAAAAATGAATTTAGTCACCAAAATATACACACTGGATCTCCTCATAAGAGGGGAAAAAGGTTATTGTTCAGAATCAGAGTACATGCATTTAGACTGGTTTGCTTTAAAAAACTAAAACTACCCTATTAGTGCAGTATTTGTTTGCTGGCTTTATAAGTCACAATAATTAAAGCAATTTCCTGCAATATGTCCATATTATTACCATTTTATAGTTTACTGATAATCATTTTTACATTATAGGAAACTGCTAAAAGTTCTGGTAGCTCTTGTTTTAATGGGAAAAGATTAATTTGGATTTACAATGTCGCGAATATTTATCATGAAGGAAAGGGAAAATATTTGACAAATGAAGAATTACTTAAATTTTCTTTGCCCAAATGTCTTGCCATCG